TAGAGTTCAAGCCCTGAAACCAACCAACCAACCAACCAACCAACAAACAAACAAAGTTTGTCTTGCTCTGGTTCTCACATCTGATGAGCTGTCGTTGGTACAGCTCATGACTAGTTAGGATTCCAAAGAAGCTGGGAGAACAATGGCAAAACCAAGAGACGAAGAACGGGAGGAAGAGCCAAAATGGACATGAAATACTAAGCTTTCTTGATGTTAAAGCTCCAAGGCTAGCCCTCTGTGGGTGCAGATGACTTGTTTCTCTTACTTGCTAGAATATGAAATGGGAAAGCAATATGGGCAACACCAGACAGTTGGACAACAGAAGATAAACAGATAAACACTATTTCATTTCTTATCTTTATACACTAGAACTTTTAATATCAACACTCTTTTAACTCCCTTAATTCTAATATTCCTTTAATTCTTATACTAGGAAAGTATAGAAAAAAGTCAGTTTCCAAAAAACAAGTTGGGTATGTTTCCACTTGCTGTGTAAATAGGAAATTTTTGTGAAGAGACCAAATGAATACAACAAAGAATTGAAATTTAAAGAAAATCAAAACTTACTAAGTTTATACAAAAAACAGTATATTTATCAAATCCAAAGAAAAAGTAGCCCATATACATGACTATAATTGTGACCTTTCATAGAGACAAACAGTTCAAGTATGTGTGTTTTCAAGGAAATGAACAACAGAGTAGGAAACAACTATAAACTTAGTCTGATGAAGTTGAAAGTAAAGGAGAGGAGAGAAAGTTCGAGCTACTGATTTCCACCTGTCCTCACCCCGAGCCCTGAAAGGACAGGCCTGGGTGGAGTGTTGACTGTCAAGCGAACTGGGTGTGAGGCATGCAGCAGAGGAGATACTATTTTCCCTAGCAGAAGGGATCTTGATATTGTTCTACTACCTTTTTAATATAGGAATGCCTTACTTACGAGTTCACTCATCAACCTAGTCCCAATTTCTATTTTTTGTTTTATTTTAGCCAATACTGAACTTGAACTCAGGGCCTTAGTTATTTCTTGGCCTTCTTCACAGCAGTGCTCTCTTCCTCTGGAGTCATGCCTCCAGTCCAACATTTTGGTAGTTAATTGGATATGTAGTTATGCAGACACTTCTGTCTGGGCTGTCTTCAAACAGCAATCCTCTAGGTCTTAGCTTCCTGAGTAGGTAGAATTACAGGTGTAAGCCACCAGTGTCTAGGTTAATTTCTCTTAAAATTAACTCATCTCTGCTAGGTACCAGTGGCTCATATCTGTAATTCTGGCTACTCAGGAGCCTGAAATCTGTGGATCACAGTTTGAAGCCAGCCAGGGCAGGAAAGTCCAGAGACTCATCTCCAATTAACCACCCACCACCCCCCCCCAAAAAAAAAATGGAAGTGGGGCTGTGGCTCAAGTGGTAGAGTGCTAGCCTTGATCAAAACAGATTAGAGACAGTGCCCAAGCCCTGAGGCTCAAGCCTCAGTACCGGCGCACACACACAAAATTAATTCATCCCCCTTTTCTATCTTAACAAATACCATAGATAATCCTTTATCTCCACTTCCCTTTTTCCTCAAAGATTAAGAACTTCAAAAAGTCACTCTTACTAATAGCAGAGATCTCTCCACTCTCCCTAATGGGAGACAAACAATTACCAAAACCAATGGACTAAATATTTTCTAGGCTTCTCTTCTCCCTTAAAAGTCTATAATTACATATAGGACAAGGCCACACATTTGACAGATGTTCAACACTATGCACATAGTGTTGAACACACTTTCATTCTGCATTGTCTGCCGGCCTCTTTCACTTTCCTGAGGACATGGAAGTGGCCCACATATGGTTTTCCTCTGACACATAGAAGGGGTTGACTGCACAGTGGGCTTACAAGGAAGGACTCTTGCTCTGAACATCCTCCCATACGGATAGAAACTCCAGTACCTATATGAATTTATAACATTAAGGAAAAGCTAAAGGTGTAAGAGGTTGTGTGTAATAGTTTCAGCAGGCCTGAGTTAAGTAGATGAACATGGAGGTAAGCGGAAGGTAGGTCTGGATCAGGGGTACGTGAACGGTGAAGTTCTGAACAGTCAAAGGTAGTACATCAACTCAGTACTAAGACCTATAAAGTGAAGCAAAAGAACTGAAGTTCGGGGAGGTGGAGTTCCAAAATCGTGCCATTTGGAATTGGAGCTTGTGCTCCTCAAGAGGGTAAAGGATAAGAGAGAAGAACAGCCACAGAAACAGCTGTGACATTCCATCTGGGGGCAGTGCCAGCCTTTAGAAAAGCAGAAACAAACCAGGGGCTGGCAGAGGACTGATTGCCAGGGATTGTCTGGGAGTCAAGCTTGTTTATTTGCAAGCAACTCCTCTGTTCTTAAAAATTACAATTTTTATGGGAAAGGGGAGGATGAAGGCAAGAGTTTTCCAGAAAGATAAGTGAATACGGCTTTCTAATTTAATAAGCTAAATTATTTATTCCAACTTCCCACTCTTTCTGATGTAGATGGTACTGCTATGGAAATAACATACTACATATTTTAATGTACTGAGCAGTCAGTTACATCAGGTAATACCATGTGCATCAGGACAGCTCACTTATGATTACACTACAGAATTAGCCAAAAGTATTTGTTCCTTCAGGAATGACAAAAGCTTCAATTTTGAATAGAAATAGGTATATTCTGGTATAAATATTTCAAACATAACAAAATGATTTCATTTCAATAACCTAAAAACTTTGACAATAAGTTTCTTTAGTGGAAAATTATGCTAATCCACTCCTGAATATAATACTCAGTCAAAGTATTAGAAATGAGCAGGTGCCAAGTGGCTTGTGCCTATAATCCTAGCTGCTCAGGAGGCTAAGATCTGAGGACAGAGGTTTGAAGCCAGCCTGGGCAGGAAAGCCCCTGAGACTCTTAACTCCAAATAACTACCAAACAACTAGGAATGGAGCTGTGGCTCAAGTGGTAGAGTGTTAGCTTTGAGCATAAAAGCTCAAGGAAAATGTCCAGGCTCTGAGTTCAAGCTCCAGTACTGAACTCCCCCTCCCCCACCCCCCTGCCACCAAAACAAAAAACAAAACCACATTAGGAATAAAACACGTAAATAATTTTGCTAGCTCTAAAAACAGTTCCATACAAAATATTAGCAAATGAACGTTTATTTCTTCATTTCTGGAAGGTCTAAATGTTCAACAAATCAACAAAATACTACACAAACAGAATTACTGTGTCATCTCATGTTGAATGGAGAAAATTAATGTAACTAGTAGTACTGTAAGGAGAATGAAGGCATTATACATATAAGCATAATTTCTAAATAATTAAGTCTATCGAAATAATTCAGGAGAAGAAATGATAATGCAGTCAATTTATAAGATATCTGGTACATGTGTTCACTGAGATCACTGAGATCACTGGTAAGAGATGCTGATAGTATAAAAACTGATCTGTAATCATTGTATTACTATAAAATCCTTTGGATAATTTGATTTTTAAATGTTATTTTTTACATGACACCAGAGGTTCATTTTAAACCAATGTAGAAGTTCAACAGTAAAGTACTGAAAAGGTAAACAAAAATCATGAAAAATAAAAATGAACAATTATTCCCATAGTGATCATAATCAAATAAACATTCTAATCTTTAAAATTATTGCAAAGAATGAAAACAGATTCTCCAATGGCCACAGCATTTTTCAATGTGTGTGTGTGTGTGTGTGTGTGTGTGTGTGTGTGTAAATATATATATGTATATATTAACTTTAATAATGATACCCACTACATTTGAGATGAGGAAGCATTTGGTCCACAGTTTATTTCCATGTGCGTGTTCTAAAACTGACTGCATTACTAGGCAAATTCTTCAAATCAATTCACTGATCTCTTACTGACGGATGCATTGGTTTGAAAAATCAAAGACTTACGTCATCCAAAAAATCAATCAGTGAAGATGAGGAAGAAGAAAAGGAATCCTATTTAACGAATTCAGCAATAAAAAAAAATAGAAAACATGGATGAAGCAATTTAATAATAATTAAAAATTTTGCAAAACAATTGAAAGGCAAATGACATTAATTTAAATAAATAAGCAAGAAAAGCAGTCACTATCATTGTTCTCAAGAAACTTAAGAGATTACTTTTTAAAGAATGGTTCTTTTTCCCTTTCCCACAGATATGAAATAGAATTTGTATACTACACTCAAAGTATAATAAAATAAAGCTCATGGACAAATCATTAATAATCAAATTAGATGTATGCATTTAGAAAATAACAACTAAAAGTAAGTAACAGAATCTTTGGTTCCCAATCTTCCCACTGGAATGCAAGCAGTATAGAAGGTCTTTGTCTTTTGTGGCCAATACTGTAGCTCTAGCACTGAGATCATGCCTTGCACAGACACCTGATTCTGTGGCTGAATAGGACAATCACCAGTTAAACTATTTTGAGACATAAATGAACTTTCTGACTTTAGTGCTTTTTAAAGCAATTTGAAAATACTGAAGTGAAGAGTAACAGAGTTACAGAATTACAATTGCATAACTATGAGTCTGCCTAACAGGGTCTTTGTAATAATTTTTAATTAGAGTCATCCCTTACCATCTGCTTTTTAGAAAATACATTGGTCTGGCACAAGAACCAGCAATGTACTATTGTAAACTTTCACATTTTCTCTTATTTTTATTGTGTTGAGGTGATGTGAGCAAAAAGTCAAAAGTATTTCAAAAGTTGGGGTCTGTTCTGCATGTATAGCTTCTTATGGGACTTGCAAATGCTTTGAAGTGTAACCCAACTTTGGTTTTTAGACCTTTCTCAGATATTGGTGAGAACCAAGAATGACTGCATTCTCCATGAGAATGCAGACTACAGCCCTCCCTTCGCAGCCTCACTCACAGGAGACTCGAGGTCCTTGTATGTGGGCCACAGTAAAGCCATTATACTGTAAGTGGAAACCACACAGTGTATTTTAAGTTTACCATGGAGAGCATCTGAAAAGTTCAATACTTACTTCAAATTGATCCAGAGCGTCGGTAGGCGCATTCAGAAATGCCAAGAAAGAGTGCTGTGAGTCCTGGTGCTCTATGCCTAGGAGACAGCAGCATTACTTCTTTTAAACTAGAACACTTAAAAGATAAGTTTTATGGATAACTTTTCTGTTTCCACCTATTAAAGCTGGCCATAAACTAATTCAGAGCTCAGAATTATTATTAACTCTATGTAGTAAAAAATACACATTAATATTTCAAAGATTATCATATGTAGTTAAAAATAGGAGTTGTTTATATCTGATTTTTCTAAACAAATTTATCACCAAATAAGGTTTCTGTTTTGAAGTACTTTCACTGTTGGCAATACTGGGGTCTCAACCCCGGGGTGTAGACCTGCCAGGTAGGGGCTCTATCACCTGACCATGTCCCCAGACCTTTTTGCATTAGTGTTGTTGTTGTTTTGCCAGGAGGTCGCCTCAGACTATGTGAGCCTCTACCTGTGGCTCCCATGTCACTGGGTTACAAGCGTGGTACCATCATGCCCTTAACCCCCCACTCTTCACTTCCTGACTAGCAGCAATTACAGACGCGTGCCACTGTACGAAAAACAAGCTGAAGATTCTTTAAAAACTACTCGTACCATGCATAGAGCATCATTAAGATAATTATACATTCTTTAATAAGATTATAAACATCTTCAGTAAAATTATAAGAAAATAATAGAATAAAATAAATGTACTTTAGTATAGTAAAACATTTCATTTTAGATATTGGTTTACTGAATTAATGAAGAATCCATGAAAATCCTAGTTTTTCTCAAATGAATTTTTTTTTGGTCAGTCGTGGGGCCTGAACTCTGGGCCTGGGCTCTGTCCCTCAGCTCTTCAGCTCAAGGCTAGCGCTCTACCACTTGAGCCACAGCGCCACTTCTGGCTTTTTCCTTATGTGGTTCTGAGGAATCGAACCCAGGGCTTCAGGCATGCAAGGCAAGCACTCTACCACTGAGCCACCTTCCCAGCCCCTCTCAAATGAATTTTTAAAAATACATATGTATTTTTGGCTCTGGTAATAAATACAAATAATAAGAACTAGGAATGATAAAATGGAAAACAAACCCCACCTAGTTTTGACTTGCAATCCCTAGAAACTGATTTGTGTGCTGAGTTACTTCCTAAGGTAAATCCATAGTTGCCAGACAGGTAACATGTTCAGAAATGTATACAGCCAACAAAGACTTCATAACAAACCAGGGATCTGATAGGGAGTAATGTAAGGAAAGGCCCTTGACTTCATTTTGTAGGTATCAATCCTATTACTTAAGTAGCATAGCGCACTATGTTATATTATTTTTTGGAATATGTGAAATCTAAAGAGAAAAGGCTTGCTGTCATATGCCTTCAGTAAGCAGGGTGAAAAGCTTAGGTAAAGCCTAGATCTAATTCAATCTAGTCTAAAAATGATGTGGTCAACATTATTTGAAGGGCACATTAGCTGTATTCTGCTTTAGTTTCTTTGCTTCTGAACTGCCTGGGCTATAAGTCACCCATATCTATGCATTCTGTTCATCATCTCACTGAACAATTTATTCCAGATGTTTTATGCACTGCATAAACTAAGACTAATCATGGTCGGCATCTACATGTGATGGTTTATGCTTCTATCTGAGTTTTTATTCACTTTTTGGGCTCCTTCCTTTCCTTCTTCAATAAGAAATTCTATCAGCAAAAACCTACAAACATCAACTATTATTTTAAACAGCTTTTCAGTGTTGGTGACTTTATGTTGTTCTCCAATCTTTACAATTTTTATTTATTTATTGGCCAATACAGAGCTTAAACTAAGTGGCCTCATACTTGCTCAGCTTGCTTGTTTACAGTTGGTACTCTACTTTTGATGCTATACTTCCAACACAACCTCTACAACTTTACAAGCAGATTCAAAAATCCAACAAGCTTTATCTCACTGTATGGATTAAAACAAAACAACAGAAAAAACAAAAGGCAGGGCACCAGTGGCTCATGCCTATACTTCTAGCTGCTCAGGAGGCTGAGATCTGAGGATCACAGTCCAAAGCCAACCAGGACAGGAACATGCTTGAGACTCTTATCTTCAATTAACCACAAGAAAACCAGATGTGGTGCTGTGGCTCAAGAGGTAGAACACTAGCCTTGAGATGAAGAGCTCAAAGACAGTTCCTAGGCCCAGAGTTCAAGTCCCAAGACCAACCCCCCCCCAAAAAAAAAATCAGAGAAGCCTTAGACCAAATAAAAAGCCCACTAGTTACTGTAGTACTTGGTGATAAACTTTGTTAGGAAAATAAATTTTAGATAACTGTATATAAGTATCATTTACTAAAAAAGAACATTTTATATTTTATAAAATTAAATCTTTTTTTTTTTTTTTTGGTCAGTCATGGGGCCTGAACTCTGGGCCTGGGCGCTGTCCCTCAGCTCTTCAGCTCAAGGCTAGCGCTCTAGCATTGAGCCACACCCTACTTTTGGTTTTCTGGTGGTTTATTGGAGAAGAGTCTCAGGGATGTTCCTGTCCTGGCTGGCTTTGAAACACAATCCTCAGATCTCAGCCTCCTGAGTAGTTAGAATTACAGGCGTGAGCCACTGGTGCCCAGTGATCTCTAGATTCTTAACATCCATATTATGGGAAGCATAGAGTTATTAAACACTTAAGAGATAGTCCACATTAATCGAAAGATGTAAAAATAAAGTTTTCAAGAAACCTATAATAAATTCTGGGAGCTCCTATAGGACAAAAAAATGGAAGCATCTGGAAGAAGATGCTGCTTTGTGAAAGTAATTCTTACTGAGTTTCCCTGTTAATACTGAATTTGATACATTTCTAGTTATAGATTGCCTTCTCAGCTATTGTTGGAGTGATCCCCCAACAAGACTAAGTACATTTTAGAAACATAAAAAGGGCTAACAAATATGACCCCATTACTGGGAAGGCAGAGGTAGAAAGCTGTGGTTCAAGGCCAGCTTGGGCTACACAGTGAGACCTGTCTCAGAAAACCAGCACACAGAAGTCCTCTCATAAAAGTATCCTTACTAAGGTCTGGATGTTAACACACACTGCCAACTGTCAGAGTGATTACCTCATCTGATGACACTTGAAAACATTATAAAATGAAGTTTTCCAAATCACACAAGTATTATTCATTAAATAGTTCAGGACACTGAGGGCAAAGTGACTTCTTGATGTCTAAAGACAGGGCTCATCTGAAAGTCCAGTACCTCAGCCTCCTGGCAACTGGGGTTACAGGTTCACACCACCACACCCAGCTGTTACTATAAACCCTCAATGTATAGTAAGTCAGATATAGTGAATCAGAGCTCCATCCACCAATCATTGGCTATGAACATACCACATGCACATACAGTTCCAAGGCAGTTCCAGTTTGCTAAATGTGAACAGTAAGTGAACTCTTAACACAATAAAACATTTACAGCTATACAGTAAGTCCTGAGAGATGCAAACATACATGCCCATACCCTTTTCAGATCTAAGCTCTTCAGTGTCCTTTAGCAGCTGTTCAATTTCTGAAAGTAGTTCCAAGTTCTTCTTCTCTGAATCTTTTAGTTTACTTAAGGAAAGAGAAGAAAAAAGTAATTAATTTTTTTGCTGTGAGCCAACTCTCAAGGAGCTGGATTTACTTGGTTTAAATGTCAGTCCTGTAAAATTAGGGGATAAGCTACTACCATAGGTGTGACAAATTCAGCCTGCCAAATGCCATTATGCAACTTAAGGTTTGGGTTTTTTTTTAAGGGGGGATTGGTCTTGGTGCTTGGCTGCTGGGCATTGCCCCCGAGCTCTTTTGCTCAAGGTTAATGCTCTACCACGTTGAGCACAGCTCCACTGCCTGTTTTCTGGCAGTTAACTGGAGATAAGCATCTCATGGACTTTCATGCCCAGGCTGGCTTTGACCTGTCTTCCTCAGATCACAGCCTCCTGCTTGGCTAGGATTACAGGTGTGAACCACTAGCACCCAAATGCAATTAAGATCTATAGAGCACAGCTCAACCTATTGTGTACAGAAAACAAGCGGTATTCTTTCTTTTTTTCTTTTCTTTTTTTGTCGGTCATGGGGCTTGATCTCTGGGCCTGGGTGCTGTCCCTCAGCTCTTCAGCTCAAGGCGAGTGCTCTACCACTTAAGCCACAGCACCACTTTTGGTTTTCTTAGTGGTTTACTGGAGATAAGAGTCTCTCAGACTTTCCTGCCCAGGCTGGTTTTGAACTGCGATCCTCAGATCTCAGCCTCCTGAGTAGCTAGGATTACACCTAGCTAAGTGGTACTCTTTCTAATACAGTGGAGAAGGCCATGTGGTTGCCCATGGCAGAAGCTACTGGTTAGGTTATAAGGGACAATGTCTGGACCTGAAAGTGTATTTACTATCTTGCCCCTTTATAATAAAAGTTTGCTGAAACTAAATTAAATTACTAAAATATGTCATAAGACCAAAGATTAGTTAAAAAATGTGTTTGACTTTCTCATAAACATGAACAAAAAACATACTCTTTCTTATATATGGACATGCTCTGTTTTCAAAGCATATATAATTTTAATTTCCAATTTGACTTTTACCCCTGCTTCATGAAGAAATGTGTAAATCCCAATGTCCTGAGTACAGGAAGAAACAGATTGTACTCAATCTAAACTATAATACACAAAATAACATTAAATAGCTCTTTATACTGGGTTTGATTCATATTTTCCAGAAAAAAATTCTCTTTTCAATTGCATATAATCACAACATACAAAGAATACTCAAGTCTTAATCTGTGTCATTTTTAACAAAAAAGTTTGTAATTCAACAGGATGCTGGCATATCTGCAGCTGTGTTCTGATTAAAGATTTTAATGACTGAAGTTTAGGTCTTCTGCCATCACATCATTAAAAGCTGAGCTGATATTTCTTTTCTACTTTTAGAAATTTAGATATTCTGAGCACCCAATAGATTTTTATATTTGTAGTTTCATTTGTATATCACCCACAGACTTATTTTAGAACTAATGTAATTATTTTTATTTATCATTTATGTACCAGGACAATGATTTCCTCTACTCTTGTGAAAGAATAGAGGGGATGTATCTACTACCTGTCTGAGACAGTTTACTTTTTAAAAAAATAGAAAAATAATGAAAAATTTGCCATTATGAAATTATCACTATAACCACCATTTGTAAAATACCTATGGCAGAACACGATTATTTTCTCTGATTATTTGTTGCATTTTTATACACCTATGACAATTCTTGAAGGTGAAAGAACTTCAGATTTGATAGGATAAAATTTAAGCATCAACTAAACTTTATGAGGAAAAACAAATACTGGAATATTACCTAATAATTCCTCTTTATGGGTAAGCAAACATGTTTAAAAAGTCTTGAAAGCATTTGTTTCCATTAAAATCTTTATAACTGTTTTGGTCACAACAGCTTTTTAAAAAAAATTGCACATAAGTAATTAAACATGAAACTTCTCCCCAAATAATTTTTCAGAAACATCAGGAATTATTTGTATAGTGCCACACTATTCAATCTTACCATTCTGTTACTATGTGAGTTGCCTTAACCTTGTTCAGCTCTTCTTGAATGGCCTGTTTGGCTCTTATCTCTGCATCAAGGGCTGATTGCAGCTCCAGTCTAGCTGACATGTCTAGTTTTGCAAAACGACGCATTTTCCAGGGCATGTCCTACAAAATAATAAGAATGTTTATCTTAAATATTAAACTTTGGTTGTCCAAGTGAATCCACAAGCACTATTCTCTAAACAGAATAGAATGGAAACGTCTTTCATTAAATGCAGAAACACATATAAATGGGTGCTTTCTATACTTATTTTCAATAATAGCTTATCTATACATATATGTATTTGCAATCGCAGTTTATCTATACGTGTATTACAGCTAACAAAGATGTGTTGCATCTTCCTGAACTAAAAAAAGACCTAAATGAACTGATTTTCATGAAAAATTTTACAGTATGAAAAAGTCTAAAAAAGTGGATATAAATAATCAGATTTATTAGTATGTTTTGAGGCTTCGTTTTTCTAAAATGATAAGCTTCCATGCAAAACGCAGAGCTTACTGTTGCTCGGGTACCCAGGCTTGAATTTCTTAGTGCTTCCAATTCTTCGGTCATTTTAGAAGCGAGGGCCTGAAGATACCCTCGCGCATCCTTCTCATCACTGACCCTAAAAAACAACAAAACCTCAGTAAGATAGGTATTAAAGCTCTACAAAGCAGTGACAGAAAGTTAAAAGTATTTATCAGTAAAACTTTCAAAAGATCTACCACCAGTCAACACTTAGGAAGAAGTTTACTAAACTATTAGTTGCATTTATGTTAAAGTGAACAATGATTTAAAAAAAACCTGGTTGGGGCTGGGAAGGTGGCTCAGTGGTACAGCGTTTGTCTTGCATGCCTGAGGCCCTGGGTTCGATTCCCCAGCACCACATAAGCAAAAAGAAAAAAGCCGGAAGTGGAGCTATGGCTCAAGTGGTAGAGCGCTAGCCTTGA